CTTTATGGTAATTCTATATATATTGCAGAAGGAGAAGGTTTAGATGACAATAGTGACAATGAGAGAAAAAAACGTTACAAATCCTCAGATCATATTTCAACAGTACAAACCGAGAAGTTGAACAGTCGCAGAAGAGAGCAATACTTGAGACAGCTGCAAGGCTCATAAAAAGTGACATCAAGACAAATGTGCTACCCGTTAAAGACACACGTCGGAAAGTTGCTAGCATTGGCCATGCAATCATACAGGCAGTCCGATCACGAGCCTTCCTTGCTCCTTTGCAAATCGGCCTTTCAGTGCAAATGCACCACTTAAATAGGTCTAGGTTTCTTATAGATACCTTGTGTCAGATGGGGTTCTGTTCGTCCTATGGAGAAATGCATAGGTTTGAAATGAATGCTGAAAATTGTGCTGCACCAAACATGCTTGGTGAGGATATTGATGTGTTGAACTCGGCCTTGTTGTTCGCAGCTGACAATGTAAATCATAAGATTCTCACAATTGATGGTAAAGGAACATTTCACGGGATGGGCATGATAGCTGCATTGACACCAGGACAGAAGACAGACCAGATTGTCCCTAGGTACAAAACGATGGAACTGAACATTGTAGAGAAGGCAGAGGTTGAAATAGTAGATCATCGTTTTGCCAAACACATTCGCCGAGAAATCACATTTGCAGAACTTCCAAGTCTAACTGAATGTGACAAAACAGTTGATCTTCTGTGGGAGTTATCATTCAACTTCAAACAGGCCACACCAGGTTGGCAGGGGATGATGCATATCATTTATCAAGAAAATGAGCACCCTGGTTAGTCTTCAGTCAGGTATCTACCGATTATAGACATGTATTCTGGGAACAAGACGTGCATTCTGTCAACATTGGAGTTTCTTTGTGGTCTTGCCTCCAAGCATCACATTGCCCCAGTAATTACATTCGACCAGTCCCTATATTGGAAGGCGACAGAGATAATCCTTGATTCACCACCGGGCAGCCATCTTAAATCGATTGTCCTGCTGCTTGGCTGTTTCCACACGTTTATGAACTTGCTAGGAGCGATTGGTACACTAATGGATGGCACGGGACTTAAGGACATCTTAGGGGTAGTCTATGGTGAAATTCTGTAGCCCATATGATGACAGGCAAATCAGTTCAGAGAGCATTCCGTGGTCATGTTCATGTAGACAAATGTCTTAACCGTGTGATGGTGTCAGAGATGGCTCATGATATACCCGAATTCACAACAATGATTGAAGAATCTGAAGAGATATATACTGCAATATTGAATGGTGAAGAGACATTACAAA